TAAAAGACAACATACGTGCAAAATTTAAAGATCAAAATTGTTACAAAAAAGGTTTTAAGTCCTGCTCAAATTGTTTTAATGATCACCTGGATTGATAAACCGCTTAAAATACCAAGAAATTACGCGTGTTCCTTGGTTTTGAGTTTTTACTACTGATGCAAATTTCGAAATAAAACAAAAATGGAGCTTTTTTATCACAGGGTTTTGCGATCCATCTACGTTTCGACACGTAACATTTTGCGAAGAACACGATAGTGCCGCTCACTGGTAAAAAAAAACCTCTTGGACCAATGCCACGGTGCATTGACTTAAGAGAGCAGTTTCTTGTCGCCGGATTTAAGAGTCTTGAACTCTTGTTTCAAGCGGATTTTGCATTGAATCAATGCAAACTCCGCTTGAAGCAAGAGTCCAGACTCTTAAATCCGGCGGCAAGAAACTGCACTCTTGAACCAAGAGGTTTTTTTTACCAGTGTAGTTTTCTCCGAAACGGACTCCCAAGCTCAAAAAAGCTCTCAAAGTTGGGGATGCGATGGAGGGGATTGTCTCATTAACGCCCTTCCAAAAACTTTCGTTCCCTTCCCCTAAGTTGCGGGGGAAACGACGCCCCTAGAAAGTTTGAGCTTTTCCATTGGAGATAATTATGGGTGCGATTGGAGACAAAGCCTTTTAAGATTCGTCCCAGGAAAAATGATTATCGATAACGTTCGAAAAATAATCAAGGGAGGAAATTCGCAACGCGGCGAAACGAGATGCGAATTTTATTTTAATTAAACCGCGCGGATTTGCATCTCCCGCGAGAACAGTGCGGATGCCAAAGATGACTGCTGGAAAGGAGGGCATAACTCCATGGTCGAAACTAGTTTCTTCAGATACAGGACCGCGGGTGAGTCATGCGATTCGGCTTAACTGACGTAAGTCAGGTGAATCACGGAGGATACCTCAGTAAGTTGTCACCGCCGAAACTGCTGCCTTTCCTCCCATTTCTTCGTGAGCATTTTTTTGTGCGCGATCCAGGTACGTTCCGATCGCATGACCTGCCGACGAGAGAAGGGCAGAAGTTAAACAACCGGTTCACCTTCGTTCAATCGTAGAGTTAATGACGAATCGAAGCCAAAATGACCGGCGAGACATTGCAAAAACCAAGACGCGGCCGAGAACGACGCTAATGCGAAATCGGACGCAATCGTGCAAAAGAAGCACTAAAAAAATAGAGGCGAAAGAGTGGATCAGTAGAGAAAGGAAAAGTCAAAAAGCGTCTTCAAATTCATAAAGAAAAACAAGGAGCGACTTCTTCTTTTTTATTTTACTACTAATTTTTACTGACCAAAAGGTTTTCTTTTCTAAATTTTTACTTCCAAAATCTTGGTGCCATTGATTCCGATATCGTCAGATAGAGGTGGAGAGGAGGACGATAAAGGTGTTTTATTTTTAACATTTCCAGTCTTTTTATGGGCATGTTCAAATATTTTAAACGAAAACTATCCTGATTTTTCATTGACCCTTTGAGGATGTTGGGCAATTGGGCATGTGATGCGCAGCTCACGAGATGTATTTGTGGGCTGTTCTGCTGTTCATAAAATACAGAATGCCAAATTTCGGATTTTTCGACCCCCTCCCCCTCCCCCCCATAACGGTATTAGGGTGTAGGCCCCCATCCTATAATGAGTAAAAACAAAATATCCAATTCCCACGACATTTCTTACGCAGAGTGTGAAGTTAGGAGTGAACTTAAGACTTTCTCGATGGTCAAATCGAAGGATGTTCGACGATTTCTTCCTTTTTTCATGGTGAGTTTTGAGCCACTTTCTCATGAAAAATAAATCTCCTTAAAGCTCTGGTAAAAGTCTGAAACACTCGTTGAGTCCCGAAAGCTCCGTATCTGGTCTTGAGTCACCCAACTTACACAAGGGTATCCTTCCTTCGACTCGGCTTGTTCTTTTTCAAATTGATCACCTCCCCTCGTAAGTATTTGTTATTATCACCTGGTAGCTCACTACAGAATGAGATACCAAAGAGATTTACAGATTTCGCAATAAACGAAGAGCCTTTTTCCGATAAGGTGCTACTCTTTCTGGCTCATGCATAAAAACACTCATCTGCATGGGGAAACCGATGGTACATACGTTGCTCCTAAAATGAGTCAATAGTAGTTCCTTGTTGCAAAATGTAATCAAATTATCGAGGACTGACTCCTGTGCCTATTATCGAAGACCCCCTTCGTAAACTTTACCGTTGTATTCTTTTAATCCCTATATTTCAACTTAATCGCGGGAAATGTGTTTTTGTGCTTCTTTGTGCTTGACAGTCGTCGTAAATAAAAAGAAAAAAACAGAAGGAGCTTTCGGAGGTTCCCACATTTCACCGATAAAAGACGAATTTTATCACAAACTGGTGGATTTTTCCGTCTAATTTTTTTCTAGGAATTTTACTTACGATATAATCTCTAGTAAATGCCTGTTAACTTCGAGAAAAAATAACCAAAACTTAAGTTTAAAAAAAGAAGATATTTTTCAGGGAAAACTTGACAACATTCCAATCTTCATACGGTGGCGTCGTTTCTTAGTACGGCAGTACGAGCAGACATTCGTCAACTTACGTAATACCTACGCTACAGCAACAACGCAATGCAAAAATAAGGTCGCTAAACTAGCTCTATCAAAGCGATATTGCAAATATTTACTCATGCTGCCTCGAAAAATTCTAGGGGGTGTATAATTAATCCGAGGTCTTACTTTTTATACGGAACTCACCCTACACCTATACCATCTGTGACGATCTGCTTGGATAAGTTCAAATATTTTGGATGCTGCCTCAAATTTCAGAAAAAATTGATCCCTTCCATTGGACTACACTTTGCAATTAAAAACTAAAATTTCTGGCTCAATTAAGGACGTGAATACTATTAGTTTCCCTATGTACTTAAGTGTTTTTACGGATGAGTCAGATATTGCAGTTCCCAATGGGTCACTAAACTATGAACGAATTGTGACTTGCGAATGCATTATTCTAAAGGTAAATGGCACGTAGAACACGATGCGCACATTGAAAACGCAAATAAGTAACTCTATAAACGAGAAATATGCAGTTCAAATCGCTCAAATTATCCGCAAATTCAAAACGTCCCGGTTTCGCGCCGAACCGGATGATGTCATCCGGCACTAATCAGAAGCGAGCACGGGTTTCTACGACTTCCCTCAAATGTCTATCTACTCCTCGTATGGGAAGACAATACTCAAGTCGAAATTATATCTTCAGAATTAAAGAATCATACTGTTCAATGCAGTCGAATCAAAGGTGGCCGCGCTACGGAGAAATGTCGTGTGAGCTAACGGGTTGTTGCAAAATTTCTTCCGATTACATACGAATTCTCTGAAAAACTGGATAATTTTTTCCTTCGTAGTTTTTAGAGAATAGACCGTATTCGATAACGGTTCGATGTATCGTTTGGTTCAAAACAATAGCACATAACCTCAAACCAAACTGTAAGGATTTAAGTTGGAAAAGCTGAAAATGAGAAAATTCCTAACAATTTCACTTTAAATTGGCATTAGGTACGCAAAAGAATAAAAAATTTGTTACAAAAGACCCGTTCTCTCAGATTTCTGAATTTACTTTTGAGGCTATGTTTATATTTTGAACCAATCGATATCGATACAATCTCAGCCGTTTGATGTATCGAATACGATCTATTAGAATCGCACTTGAACCGAGTACATCTGAAAATTTCAACGAAAACAAGATCTGAGAAATGACTATCATATGGGGGAGAAATCTGGCAACCCTCGAAAGTTCATACGATGTTCTTCCTCAGTCAGACGCGATTTAGAAAGTTGGCAATACTGTTTTTGCTCCATATAAGTCCATTTTGAAAATTTATTTTGGGTAAAAGAATCGATTGTTACACATGCATTTAAATAGAGGTAAAACAGTGTTGTCAACTTTCAAGAATCGCCACTGTCCTTAGAAAAGCGAAGGACCGTCCTAGATTTTCTTATTACGAAATTTAGGTTTCCAGCTTAATATCTCTCTTGAATCATTTCACTGAGACCATGCTGATACTCGAATCCTTTAACCTTGGATTCAATTCCACCTCTTTTGTCAGGGCAGTTTTATCCAAATTAAGTTTTATAAAGTAGGTTTAAGTTTAAGCTGACGAATGTACTCATTTTGGACCCGTAACAGGATCCATGTCAATGATTAAAATGCGAAACCACGTGCTCTCGTGTGCGTCGTTGCAAATTTCCTGTCATTCGTCATTTTTCTTTAAAAAACTGGTCAACACAATTTCTTCAAAACTTCCTAGATTGTTTTCGCTGTTAGCTGAAAATTCAGTATAAATTTAAAGCTGCAATTTGGCTTGTTTCTCTCCGAAATAATATAATAAGAGCAACATTTACAAACACCGCGATGGAGATACGTGGTTTCGCACTTTGGCTATCGATATATTGTGCTATCCAATGTGAATGTGCAAAAGAAAAGTGTTTTCTCCCCCCACGAGTGGACTTACCATTGCACAAAAGCTGACCGAAAGTTTGAAAGGACGTTAGCAAAAACTATGCTAACTGAGATTCCGGGTGGGGGGGGGGGGGGGGGGGTAAAGGGAAGAAAAAACATAATCCCCTGAGGATGCTGATATCTTCCAGGTTATTTTCAGTATAAACAAAAAACGATAGAAAGTCGGCAACGTTGCAAATATATAAACGTGTTTACCAAACAGTACGGCGGCATAATGACGGGCGCAAAAATATTCTCCGTGATATAGGAACGGTCTTCTAAAAATAAAAAAGGAGGCCGAGAATCAGGAGAAATGATCGGCCAGATCAGAGGGAGAAGGTTGAGGACAAAGAAAACCTTGAAAATACGGAGCGGTAAGTACGTGACTTCGACAGACCACGGCAGCGTCAAAACGGAGGAATAAAAAAAAAATAATTGAGGATTAGTACCATTTTGTTGTCGCACCCACCAACGCAAACAAAAAAAACATAGTACAGATCTAGTACCTGATTTAACTGTGAGGAAATCCAGGCGCCAGATACACGTGACGAAACTTCAGGAGAGGAGGGGTGGTAGTGGCGATTGGAAAAGAGACGGAAACTTGCACGCGAAAAAAGAACTCTACATGCGCGAGAAATTGTAAGTGCAAAAATTCGGGCGAAACACAAAAATGAAAAGAAAAAAATTAATGACACACAGGAGATACTAAAATGAACACATTTAGACCACTGTATTGAACAGGAGAGCGCACGATTACGAAACAACGATGAAATTAAACACCCTCGAATAAACTCGCAAAAGAACGATCTGAACACATTGACGTCGTTGGACCACGTGAAAAAAACCAACGAACGGCGATACAGGGGATTAACAAGTTTCGACAGGAGTTAACGGAACATTATTCTGCAAGAGTCACAGGCGAGGGAACAGCGGGCCCCCGCAAGAAGGTGAAGCACGCGACTGATTTGAGACAAAAAATTCGAAAGTTAAAACGGCAACCGGAAAAAATAAACCGGAGAATGGTGCGCACCGACCAGCCGCGATGAGGACCACCATTCCTCGACCGTTCAGCGCGTTCTGCGTTCTGCTGGCCGATTTACCATCTCCGATGGTGATTTTGCGAGAATTCCCACTCGGAGGAAGAGAGAGGATCCGACGTCTGGAGGAATCGTTGTGACGTTGGAGAGTACGGACCGGTATCGGCCAATGAGGACGCGGCTCCGACACGGCGCAGATGCTGCTTCACGCTGCAGACGACCCAACTTTGTAACGATCTTACGTTGGATTAAAGCTTGTTGGCTGTGGCGTGGAAATGTGCATTCGTTTATTCACCAGTGGTTCGTTCTATCTCTCTGTGCTCCGGTGCTGACAAAGCGGTGTAGCGGTTGTTCGACATCGCGATCATGTAGCGCAGGTCGTATCTTTCGTTGATCCTACCTGATAGCTTATGTTACCTTTCCCTCATGAAATGAATATTCTGACAACTATTATCTTCAGGTAAAAAATGAAAACATTCCTCTGGGCTCCATCCATCCGCCCATCATCGAGCTGATTATTGAAAATGACAGACAAAGATTAGACAAAGAAGGCAAAAGGGATATGGAGGGATCCTATTGGTGGAAGCGGGTGGTTGCAATGGACAAAGGAGGTAGGTAATAAACTAACGAAGTAAAGGCATCACACGTGAGACCCTGTAGTTAGTCCATCAGTTTCTCCCTTAGTCTCTAGGAATCACCCATTTCAACCAATAGTATCTGTCCATACTTCCTAGGTCTTCTTTGTCTACAGCTCTGTCTATCAATATCAATAATCGGTCCGCAGAGAAGACATATAGAGTATGGAGCGAACCTACTGGTTGCAATGTAGGGTTCCTGTAGAGACTGAGGGAGAAAATGATGGACTAAGTGTAGGGTTTCTCGTGGGTTGCCGTTAGTTAGTCTATTACCTACCTTCTTCGTCTATTGCAACCACTCGCTTCCACCAAGAGGATCCCTCCACATCACTTTTGTCTTCTTTGTCTATAGCTTGGTCTATTAATTTCAATAATTGGCCTGCAGTACAGGGGAAATGTTCAGGTAAGAGCATGCATGTAGGGATATTTCTGTTTCAATCGTGATTAAATCACGTCTCTCCTTTGATTCTTTTCATACATTTTTCATAATGCTGAAACAGAACGGCAATAGCTCAATTTTTGAAGTTGTTCGAGGGAAGCGAGAGGTTTCAAATAGGCTTTGCAAGATTCGTTTCGACACCTCATAGCCTTGTAAGCTGGTGGGTCAAACTGCTGGATATTACTATTTTAACTCCCGAGTATCTCGAATTGCATACCCTCAGAAAAGTAGCTCGCACAATTTTGGCAAGTATTATCGATCGGTACTATACCACAAAAAAACAACGATGTAGCAAACAGTCGTAATGAAGCGTTGCGAAGAACTTCGGTTACAATGTTTCCTGCATCAATCGCGCCAGGTTTTTTTTTCGATAGCTAGGACCGGGGGGCTCAGCAGGCAATTCGCCCCAAGGCGGGGGAAGGGCTAGGTCCGTTTACTATGGGGTACGTTCCCTAATTCGACTCTCCCGTCCCAAACAGGGCCGGATTTACCTACTTGCCGTCCATGGGCCGCCTGGTTTTTGCCGCCCCCTTCTCATTCGTTTTGAAACATCAATAAAAACCATCAAGTGAACGTGCCGGAGGGGGAGGGGTGCATAAGACGCGTCTACCTACTCGTGTTGATTACATTTTTTGCGAAGCCCTGTCAACGCTACTAGCAAAATTTCACGGAACTTTGCGCGAAAGTTAAGTTCCGTAAACATATCTCTGTGTGAACAAGGTCCTCCATTTATAAGAAATTAACCAAAAAATTGAAAGAACAAACATAAATGTGGTTTAATTATTTTGACTTCCGCCGCTGCGCCGGGCTGATCGCACTGTGTTTGGCGCAATGTGTGAAGTATTCCTGCAGTCTTGTAGGCGCTACGCGTTTCACGCAAACTGCTCCTGACCGGCGCACTGTGTTCGACGCAATGGGCGAAGTATTCATGCAGTCTTGTAGGCGCTAATATGTGTTACATGTCGACCGCAGTGCCGAGGGCTTGTCCTTTTCATCTCAAGTCCTCGTCACCATTCCTCTCCGCGCTGAACTCCAGGCCAAATTGCGTGTTTAGTTCCTCTCTGAACTCGACTAATTAAAGATGTTGTCTCTTTCATAAAATTTCGATTAATTTTTCATTTCGATAAAATTAGAAATTACTATACTCTCAGGAAGGAGAGATTTCGTCCCCTTTTCTCATTGATAATTTTTTTTTTCTGAATTCCATGTTTTTATACCTACATTTAAAAAATTGCAAAATTTGCCGCCCCCTAAATTTGCCGCCATGGGTTGAGGCCCATGTGGCAGCCCCCTTAATCCGGTCCTAGTTCCAAACATTATACAACCTAAAATAACTGAAAAGAAACCCAGACATGGGAGGTCCGTGATATTTTGTATAAATCTTGCAACGCTGTATCACGTCTGATTGCTAAATCAGATCATAGTGCCAAAAACAGTCTTCCTTTTTATTTCCGAGTAACATTACCTTACGACCTTATGCCCCAAAACAAACGAAAAAAGATTGATTCACGAAAAATGTGATATTTGAAAAAGTATATTGTCAAAACGAGCTTTGAGTGAAGCTAAAGCTCACACTGGGAATTGTTACATCGTTAGGTTTTATTCGGGGGTAAAATTGAAGGAAATTCCCGCGTTTCCAATTGAGGGGCACTTTTCTGACAGGCTCTTTTCGCGATGGAATGATTCGATTTACGAATTGGTAAAAGATGAGAGACATCTGCATTCGGTGCATTTTTTGACCGATCAGTTTTAAGAAAAAACTGAATCGACGAGGAAAAAAGCACAACTTCAAATATGATTTAAAAAAAAAAAAATCCAATCATATTCGTCAGCGAAAATTCGCTCGATGTACAACATAATTTTTCGCATGTATTCTACTTATAAGTGCGACAAAGAGCCCATCCCAGATTTGAGCGCATTATGCAAATTTTAAAAAGGTTGTTGATCGAAAAAAGGAAAAAAGGAAAATGCCGACTGACGACTCTCTTTAAAAGGAGTGAGGCGATGTTTCGTGAAAATAGAAGCTGGCCTCGATGGTATCAAACCAGCTTCTTTTTTTTAAGCCTTTCCGAGAACGAACGGTAGTTTTGCAGAGCCCAGATTTGCGATACATTTCGACCGAGTGGAGATTTCCCTTCTCAGGAAAAGTTCTTTTCGGAATAAGAAGGAGAGTTGATTTGGATCGATTTCGTCTCGTGTATTAAAAATAATTTGAAATTGTATTTTAACACTTCTGATAACGGTGTATTCGCGTGCGGAATATTTTTTTGGTATTATTCGAGTACAGAGCGCACAGAGGTCAACTTCATTTTTCGACCGAAAAGTGGTTTTAACTGGATGATTAACCGATGAATCTACCTCATGCAAATTCGATTCCATGTTGCAATGAGGAACAAATATTTCAAGCTTATTTCAGAGTCAACATATGTGCCACCGGTGTGTGTTCCATTAGTACCATTGCGGTGTTTCTAAATTCCCACTCCTATTACATTTTTCGAAAAAAGCCAGAGAAAAAAGCCAACTTCGTGGAAAATTGAATAGAATATATGTTGGTCAAACAGAAGAAAAACCCAGAAAGTTTTCAAGAAATTACGTTGGCTAGTTTTCCAAAGAAAAAATGAAGTATGGCAGGGAGTCTGCAACGGCGCAAACGGTTTCACACTATGTCCATTGACACACGCCTTTATGGATGAGCCAGAAAAAATGGTTCGGTCCCGCAAAACTTCAAAATGTCGGGCAGCTGATATTCTCGTTTGAGTAATACAGCGTATATTTCGGCTTCCACATTTCATCGAATCATGTGTTTTGATTTGAGAAAACATAGACGATTGTTTTTCTTGGCAGCAGAAAATTCAGTTTTTCCGCAAAAAATGTAACGTAAGAACATTATTATCTCAGTTAAGAGTTGATGTCAGAAATTTGCGTTGCGCGAATCATGTTCTACGTGAAATTTTGGTCGAGAAACATCACAATACTTCAAATCGTACCTCGTCTACTAGTTCATTTCGTCGATTCCCGGACGAAGGAACTTAACTCCATTCCAAGGTTGCCAAATTGTGCCAAGCAATTCAATTTTTTACAAAGATGTATCTGAGGAGTTTCATTCGGAAATGCCAAAAATTCTCCTGGTGAAATTACAATTTGTGAGGGAAAGGCAACATTTAAATTTAGTTACGTTTTTTCGTGGAAGAATAACGACGATTTGTGCCATTCTAGTCATTATCGCGCGTTTAAAGCCTTTGACGGCTACATGCAGAGGAAAAAAGCTTCCATTCAAAAACATTCCCTTATTTACGATGTCAACTGTATGGGCCTTCTTTAGGCAAGGAGCTAGTTTAGGGAACAACCATGGATACCTTGATGCAACCCTCAGTCATTTTTCCAATATGGAGACTTTAACGCAGAGTAGAAAAAACGCCGATTTATCGAGGCCCAGTAAAAAGTCATAGTTTGTCGTTTGTCTCAAAAACGAGTTTTACTAGCATCCCTGCTCTGAAATGACCAAGTTATTGAGTGAAACATGGAACCATGTTGGCGCGAACATGGAGACTTTAACGCAGAGTAGAAAAAAAACGCCGATTCGCCGAGGCCAAGTAAATAGTCATAGTTGGTCGTTTGTCTCAAAATACGAGTTTTACGAACATCCCTGCTCTGAAATGACCATGTTATTGAATGAAACATGGAAACATGTTGGTGCAAACATGGAGACTTTAACGCCGAGTAGAAAAAACACCGGGATCCCAAGCCCAGAAAATAATCATACCTAGTTTAGGTGCTTGAAATTTCTGCAAAATTTCAAATTCATTTATCCGAAGACGCTGTAATGGGTAACATGGTGCATATGGATTCGATCGACACGAATCGATCGACGTGATCCGATCGACAACGATTTGATCGAAGAGTAAGAACGAGAAGCGATCGACAACGAGTCGGTTGATGCGTAA